CAGCCCGGCGCCACCTCTGGTCTCCCTGCCCCTCACCGCCCACCCCGAGCTCTGGCCACTGCAGCGTTGCTCCAGGCCTTGGCAGCCACCCACTGTCATCTCTGTTCCCATGTGTATCTGGCTGGTTCTTTATCCTTTGGGACTCAGCTCGGGCATCCCCACTCCAGGAGGCTTCCTCTGACCACCTGGGCTGGGCCGCGCTCCCCCCCCCACGGCATCCGTCACAGCGAGCCGTCCCTGTGGCAGGGCTGACTGCCCTGAAGTCAAGACTGCCTCACGGGCCAGCCCGCGTGGGCCCCGGGAACGTGTGCTGACCGCAGGACCAGGAAGGAGCAGCACCCGGCGTCAGGCCTCTCGCCAGCGGCTGTGAACGGAGCTGGGGGTGTGGGTGGGGCTGGGCGCCTCACCCGTTCTTCTTGGGCAAATAGGCCTCCATGTCGAAGAAGAGGCCCTGGCGCTCTTTCATCTGGTTCTCGAGCTCCTGCGCGGCCTCCTCGGCCTCTGCTGGGAGGGAGGCTTTGCATCTGCGGGTGGGGCCGGGGAGTCAGAGCCGGCGGACCCCCAGGCGCCGCGCCTGCCACCCGTGGGGCGGAAGGGCAGACAAGGCCCAGAGGAGGGCGAAGCCGTGCCCAGGGTCCCTCCCCGAGTCGGCGCCAGCTCTCGCCCCCCCAGGCCAGACGCCCCACACGCAGCCCGAGGGGGCGAAGGGTTCGAACTTCTTCAGGACGAGGGCCAGCTCCTGGAGCTGCTTCTTCTGCCGAGTGATGGAACTGGTACAGTTGCTCTGCAGTTTGGTCAGCTCCTCCAGCTTCAGGCGGTAGAGCCGGTGGGTTTCCTGGGGGCAGGGGAAGGCGTGGGCTGCCTGGGGAGCTGCAAAGCTGGAGCCTGCAGGCAGGGCAGGGTTCCTTGGGAGGTCTCAGCAGGAAAGCCTGCCCGGAGACCCCTCTAAGGCCACCCTCTCCCCAAGGCAGGCAAGGAACCGGTTGTCTTCCTGCAAGCTTGGAGGCCCCCACGACTCCCTCCCCCAGAAACAGAATAGCTCCCTGAAGGTTTTCTGAGTCTCAGCCCATCTACTAGCTATCCCTGCCCCTACCCGGACTCTGTCCCGCCCTGATGCCGGCTGCCAGGCCCACAGGCCCACCTACTGGACCAAGCAGGTTTCCCAAAGTCCTCCCTGCCCTCTCAGCACCCAGCCTGCAAGTACGGGGGGAGCTCGGGCTATCCTAGGTGGCTGCTGTTCAGGCATTCATGCCGGACCTTCTCCCGGGCTACAGGCCATCGGGTTCAGGCCTTGGGTCTCCTGCTGCAGGGCCAGCCTCCCGCCCATCTCTCGCACCTTTGGCCCGAGGCTTCCCCGAGCACTTTGCCCTGGTGGGTGAGTCTCAAGAGGGCGCAGCCTAGAGGTCGGGCAAGAGGCAGTGTGGAAAGCCCAGCAGGGCTGCAGCCGGCACAGTGGGGGCCGGGCAGGAAGCCGGACGGTCAGCTCAGGACTCGGGGGAGAGGCACCGGCCTCGGGGGAGAGGCACCGGCCGGGGGCTTGGCTGCGCCAGGAGGCAGCTGGGCTTCCACGGGGCCAGAAAGAGGCTGGAGCC